TGTTATTATCACCTACTGTACTCCTGGTCACCTTTCTTTCATTAGAGACTCCATCAATTGGCTCACTATCCTGCTCTCCATAGCCCCATCATCATTCCTGGTGACTTCAAATTCCATGTGGACATTCCATCTCTTGCATACAAGTATGCACAAATATGATTCTATCCCTTGCTAAAATAAAATATCTTTGTACTTCTTGCTAAAACATGAAATATTTCATAGCCATGACCAGTCTCCTTGGGTGTCATGCCTCAATGCTCTGACCTTTCCACCAGGATTAAACAGACCCTTCCACAATTCAGAAAGCAAAGGGGGCTGGGGATGGTGGTTCATGACTGTAATCCCAGCATTTAGGAGGTGGAGACAGAGGGATTCCTGAGCCCAGGAGTTTGAGACCAGCCTAGGCAACATAGTGAGACCTTGCCACCACATAAATCAGAAAATTAGCGGGGCGTGGTGGTGAGTGCTTGTAGTCCCAACCACTCAAGAATCTGAGTGGGAGGATCCCATGAGCCCAGGAGGTTGAGGCTACAGTGAGCTGTGATGGCGCCACTGCACTCCAGCCTAGAAAACAGAGCATGACCCTGATTCAAAAAGAAAAGAAATCAAAAGGGAATTACATAGTACAACAGGGTGCCTGTAATACCCTCCAAGAGTACTATAGACTCCATCTATTTTGATGGGCCCATGCTAGTGGTGGTAGTTAAATATTTTGAATACTAACCCTGCTAACACACTAACTTCTCAGTTCTTTGACTTTCTTCTACCTTTGGTGATCATGACTACCAACTTAGTTACTCATTCTTACAGTCATACCTTATACCTAGTTATTACCAACAACTGCAATCCCTTCCTAATCTCCAGTTCAAGCACCCAACTCTGTCCCCTGTACCTCCAGCTCACTCCATTCTAGTCATTCTCCTACCTCACTGAGACTTAGAAGTAAAATGTATCTTTTAATTCCATCTTTGCACTGTCCATCATCTTATTAAAGTTCTCTTTTCACCCATCATCCAGCTTTATCATTTATTGAACATTTTACTATAGATTAAATTATCTCTTTTCATCATCTCTTTTATCCCTCACATCAATCCTAGGAAGGAGATATAATGAAATTCATTTCATAGATTAGGAAACTGAGGTTTATATAGATAAATTGACTTGGGATTATAGATTTAAAAAGTGATAGGTCTAGAATTTTAAATATCTGAACCACTATTTCCTTGACAGTACACTAAGGATAAAAAATAATTTACTTCCTCGAGTGACAAAGATCACATGTACACAAAACACCTTGTAAACTGTAATGTGCCCTTAAATGTTCACTATAATTATTTACCAATGACTAGAGAGCCCTTTCCCTTCCCTCAAAGGAGTCCTAACCCAAGACTTCCCTCAGTCTTTGCTTTTCCTTTATAGTCATGGGCATAGACTGTCCACGGACTTTCTTCAGTGCCCTTTTGGTAGAAAATTCATCTCTGACATCAAGGTTCAAAATTCTGAATGGAAGACAAGTAGTGTCAAAAAGGTGGTTCTAATGAAGTTATGGTTATATTGTGGCTGAACAGGTTTTTATAAGCAAGGTTAGCAATTCATCACAATCAGCTGACTAAAAAGAGCTTATATAACATTATCCTTCTTCTAAACTGTTGAAGACTTGCACTGAACTTTCTTATTCAAACCATAGCAGAATATGAGTTCAGAAGTGAAGGAGCCAAGGTTGATAGGCAGAATACTAAGTCTCTTAATGTCTTTTGAAGTTCTGTAGAAAACATGGACTATAGAAGTCTGGGAACACTCCCAGAGCACCAGGAAGAACATGTTCAAAGGAACTCTGTATTCTACACATTAGAATCTGGCTGTGGGCCCAATTCATCCCATTCTGTTGTTACCAGAACTCCATCAATGGGGCAGTCCAGTACCACAAGTTTCCTTACCATGGTGTATTTAGAACCATCAGGTCTAACATTTCCTCATCAACATAAATATAGTGACTACCTTTCAAATGTCATACAAATAAAAAAATCCTTCATCCACTACTCTATCAATGTTTCCTCTTCATCTCTTCTCTATACTGACACTCCTACACATATGTCCTTCATGCTACTGCGTGCCACAGCATGTCCTTCATTCCCTCCATCCCTGTCTTCCTCCCTCTCTTCCTTCCTTCCTTTTGGATACAATCTCACACTCTTTTGTTTCCCAAACAGAAGGAGAGGAGAGTCTCGGCTATTATATTTACAAGCTCTCCTCAACTACTCTTTTCAGGTAAAGTCAGGTTTAGGTACTTGGTTACATCACATTGTGTGATAGAAGCAATGCTAAAGTATTCATCAAACCCCATTTTCTTTTCTGCCAGGCACGCATACTTTGCTTCCCAGCTACCCTGCCAGGCAGGGCCATGTGACCAGGCACATTAATTCTGGCTAAGAAAATAGGGTAAAAATATGTACACCACTCCCAGGACTGACCTCTAATATCTCTGACGAGTCATTCACGGCTAATCTTTCTTATCTGAGGCCCACAGATTTGACTATTCCAAGGCCACGGGGGATGGCAGAGCTACCAGATACAAGTAGCCTGGTCCTTCCATGAATGCTAGGAGCAGAAATCCCACTCACTGGACCCAACCAACCTGCTACACACTGTGACTTTATGGAGCTAAGCCACTGAGATATTGGTTTTGCTAGTCTACCAATCGACACACCTTGTATTTATCACCAGTGGTAGCATAAATGAAAAGACCCCTGGACTTAGTTCCAGGACCCCAGGATACAAATCCTGCCTCTTCTACTCCCTTCACATACCCCAAGATCTGCTCCTAGTATATGCTCTATACTCTTACCTAACTGCACATCTAGCACATTCTCCCCTTTCTCATTACAGAGCCCTCCCCACACTTCTCTGCCTAAAGATTTCTGTGAGTCTTCTCTGACCTCCATTATGTTTTATCACAAATATTTGTTGGCATATGCTTTTACAGACTGAGAGTCCTTTCTTTGATTCCCAGCATTTAGTTATATAACAGTGAAATAGCAAAAGAACCAACAAAACTAACTCCATTTTTGTTTCAGGGGCCTTTACCCATTCCTGCACATAGGCTAGGATAATTCTTAGAGCACTAAGATAAAATACAAAAACAGCAATCATGTAGTTTTTGAAACTAACTCTGGGATTAATAGGGAAGTATATAAACAGCTAACTACGTTTTGTTAAAGACTTATAGGAACACTGTGACTCTAATCAAGGACAAAGAAGTTTCCCAACCTCCTCAGACTATCACTGGCACCCAGATGTTGTCTGCGGTCTACAGTCACCTCTTGATCCCTATGCTCTCCTCTTTCCCATGTCTTTAACATAAAAAGAGCCTGAAATATGTCCTGACTTCAGATGGTTCTTTGAGACACCAGTCTGTCATCTTGGTTTGCTGGTTCTCTGAAATAAAGTCAGCTTCCTTGCTCCAACTCCTTGTCTTTTGACTTATCGACTGTTTTGTAGCGCACCAAACGAGTTTGCACTCAGTTACAGATAGTGTCTGGTACATGGTAGAAAATAAATATGTAGTAGAGGAATGATTGTCACATATAACCTTAAGTAAGTTACTTATTTTTTAAGTCTATTACGTAAAATTTTACAATCTTGTTGCAATGATGGAATAATGACTGTGAATGGGATTTATAGTTACAGGCAGATTCTAATGGTATTGGGTTTATTCACTGTCTTGTAGGCCCTTCTCATCTTTTCCAGTCGAATCCATCTTAATGCTTCAAAATAGCACTGTCCAACAGAAATATAATAGAAGCCACATTTGTAATTTAAAAACGATTAGTAGCCACATTTGAGATAAAAATGGGTGAAATTAACTTTTTAAAATTTTTATTTTAAAGATGGGTACAGTTCATGGTTGAGTATACAAATGGTCATTGCACAGGTATAGTTTGGGCCTCCCTTTGGTCCCCACTTCGCCTGGTTTGAGATAAGGTACCCTTATTGATTAAGTGTGCCCTTCCCCCATCCCCCCAGTTTACCATTACTGCCAATCCCTTTCATATATATACAGTATGATGATAATTGTTCAGGGTCTGCTTATGAGTGAGAGCATGTACTCAGTTCCTTGTTTCTGTGATAGATCACTGAGTACTATAGACTCTAAATCCATCCAAGTTGCTGTAAAGGAAATTAAAATTTTATGTTATATAACATAAACATACAAATATGTTTAGCCCAATATATACCCAAAATGTCACTCATGGGCTAGTTTACTTTTCTAAAACGAAGTCTTCTAAATCTCATGTGACTGATAAGCTACAACACGTCTCCTTCGGACTACCCACATTTCCAGAGAGCAGAAGTCACATGTGGCTAGTGGCTCCCGCCAACTGGGCAATGCAGTTGCAAGGCCTACTTCAGAAGGCAACATCTTGGTGAACTCAACCCCACTATCCCTCAATCAGAATGAGTGACTTCTCCTCAAGGCTCTCTCGAGCCCTCTAACCTCGCTATCTTGAAGCCTTGGAGGGTAAGCCTAGGAGGATTTCCAGACTGTTGTCTCAAGAAATCTCTCTCAGCTATGGTCTGGCCCATAAAGGGCGGTCGTCAAATTCTAGGTAATTCCTGAAGCCATGTGCAAAGAACCCCGCGGGAGGCCCCAGGGCCAGGACAGAAAATGGTCAGTCCAGGAAGGGTGCGGGCGCGGAGTGGTCGCGGCAGGCGGGTACCCCAGATGGCTTACTTACACCGGAGCCCGCCGCCCCCGTGTGCTCGGCCGGCGCCTGCCCGCTCCCGGGGCTGCCAGGCTCAGCCCGCTCGGGGGCGCCG